AGTTGTGGCGACTCATACGAGCGCGGACCTTTTATCGCAGGTTATCTTTGACCTCTGCGAACACCCTGAGCTACTTCAGCCACTACGAGAAGAGATTGTCACGGTCATTACCCAGCACGGTTGGAGTAAGAATGCGATCTACAACCTCAAGCTTCTAGATAGCGTCCTGAAAGAAAGCCAACGCCTGAAACCAATGCAGATCAGTCCGTATACCCGTTCCCTACCTTGATGATAACAATGTGACTAAAATTGATTCTCGGACTTAGTATCTCTATACCGGTACGTGACGGCAGATATTACACTGAGTGACGGGACCCTGATTCCCAAAGGAACCTATATCGCCATGGTCGATGACCACTCCCTGGACCCGAACTCTTCTTACACCAATGGGGATCAGTATGATGGCTATCGGTTCATCAAAATGCGCGATGTGCCAGAGCGAGCCCATCAGACGCAGCTGGTCTCAGTCACATCGGATCACACCGGCTTCGGCTTTGGCAATCATGCCTGCCCTGGACGATTTTTTGCGGCTACGGAATTGAAGATTGCTCTCTGTCATCTGCTACTCAAGTATGACCTGAAGCTTGGTGACCAGAAGCCGCAAGCCATGACGTATGGGTTTGGGCTTTCCAGCGATCCGTTTACGCAAATCAGTGTTCGCCGCCGCCAAGAGGAGATATCATTGGCGGACGGTAAAAGTTGATAATAACAAGAGCGAGAGCCTGTATTGAAAGCCACACGCGGAGGTATTAATGGGTATTGGACAATGTCGGTCATGCTATTGATGCCTTTGTCTAGTCATCTCATTGATGCCTCTATTTGTTTGCAGACTGAGCCTGTCTTTGTTTGTCAGGGTATAAATACCCTGCTTTAAATAGATTGAATAGATTATGGTTCTTCTTCCTCTCTCTCTCCCATAGCTAGTGGCTTCAACAACGATGGGTACATCAGGGATGGCCTCATATATTTGGATGTAATGGACTAAACGTCCTCTCGACTGGGTGGTGGCCTCATTTCCTATAATGGATATAGTTATCTGGATATAGAATTCCAATGAGAGGGCACTGGCTCGCAAAAAGCACCTCTTCCCGTAACTCCAAGCAGTGTACTGAGGCGAGGCATGAAATCAATCAGGAACGACAGTTTGGAAGGCGGCGTAACATCACCTCGTCATCAGATTGTTCGCCTAGTTACCGTACGCCATCCATAGATCAAGACCAATCTACCACAACTTGTCGGACCATGCTTCTTCCTGTTGTCGGACTTGAGAGCCTTAGTCAAGATTCAAGACATTCGAGATAATACGAAGAGCTCTTCCATTGGAGCGAAGATGCGCCATCCTGTTTTGTTAATGTATTCAGGGTTGATACGACATGATTAGGTGATTGTTAGGCGATTGAATGTAGCGCTTTCAATCCACACACACAAGGTACTTTGCATAGTTGCCCTCTCCAATATGATCCTTTCGATGTTAGAGAGATCAAACATCGCTTTTCGAAAGGAGCAATTTCATACCGACTTCAATGCAACTTAGACACTATGATCAGCCAAGATTTTGGTCCCCGTAAATTGGCCCCATATGCCTCTGCTTTGAAAAGCTCATTCTCTGCAAAAGTAGCAATAGTGATTTTTCTGAGGTCAGGCAGAAAATGAAACTGATACGAATAAGCGAACATACTCCATTTTAACAATTCAGGCACTTCCCCCGTTTCCAAGGCATGAATTCATGAAGCACTGACAGCATGCGCTCAAGATCTTCCGGCTCATAGCTGTGCACATTGACGTTGAGCTTTCCTCTGAGAAGTGCAAGAGAGGTTTAAAGTTCAAAGGACGCCCTCCAGTCAATCAATCAATCAATCAATCAATCACAGTTCAATTAACCTGTTGCGTATGACTATGGAAGCGCTTCATCCAGCTGAAGCAAGAACTCGAAGCCAAACGCCGAGCTGGGATCTCTCGACTCCCTCTGGTTGTCTCCCTTAACCAAAGCATGATTTGAATATCTGATTGCTTACTGGGTCCGATGAAGTGGTCACTAATCACCCTGTGCTGTGAAATACTTAATGAGCAAGACCATGAACACCCTCATAAAGCGGCGGCACTCCGATCGGGAAAACTCCCACTACAGCCTAAAATCCGGTATATACTGTGATCTATGTGTATATACACCCCAATAAGGAAAAATAAAGAACCAGCCTAGTATGTCATTTTCTTATTATTCTTTTTTTAAAAAGAAATAGGATATATATGACTATATACAGGAATCCAAACTTCAGACATATATAACTAACTACCTAGGCAGTAATGTAGTATGGACATTGTCGAACTCCTAGATATTGGCGAGTTCGGCGCCTTAGAAATCGGGCGAATACTCCAACTACGGCACCCCCGAACGACCACAAGTGCAATGAGAACACCGCGGACATCTATCTCTCGCGTTTGCTCGTCATGGGCTTTCCTTCCCTCACCTCCGACTCTAGCAAAAATGGCGTCCAGCGTGGATGCGAAGCTAATCAGGCGGACCAAGTTCCCCCCTGAGTTCAATAAGAAGGTGGATATGACCAAGGTCAATATTGAGGTTATGAAGAAGTAAGTGACTTTCCCCGGCGTTTTTTCGGATCTCCGGTTTACTGACATTGCTTTTTTCCCCACCTACGTAGATGGATCGCAAGTCAAATCTCCAAAATATTGGGAAACGAGGATGACGTCGTTATCGAGCTCTGTTTCGCCCATCTGGAGGGATCACGCTATGTATGTTGGCCCGTCGGATATCTAGCGTCCCGACCCTAGTTTGCTGACACCTGTTTCTGGTTCTAGCCCGATATCAAATCTCTCCAAATCCAACTTACCGGATTCCTCGACAAAGATACTCCCAAGTTCTGCCAAGAGCTATGGTCGTTGTGCCTGAGCGGTCAGGCCAATCCACAGGGCGTTCCGAAGGAGCTCCTGGAGGCTAAGAAGCTTGAGCTCATACAAGAGAAGGTGATTGTAAGCGTGAGATCGGCCCTGGATATCTTCTAACCATAATACAATATAGCTCGAAGCCGAGAAAGCTAGTGAGGCACTTCGACGCCAACGGGAACAAGACCAACAGCGCGAACGAGAGCTGGACGATATGAGACGCCGCGAGCGAACAGACCGCGGACGTGGAGGAAGAGGTAGTGATCGCGGTGATCGTGGTGGCCGTGGAGGTCGAGGACGAGATTTCAACAATAGACGATCTCCGCCTCCCAGAGACCAAGACCGTAGCCGCGACCGATTCCGCGAGCCTCTTCCGCGACGTGACTTTGACTCCTACGTGCCGCCTGGCAATCGTCGCGGCCGCCGACCCTCCATGTCTTCACACGGCAGTCGTTCTCCATCTCGATCCCCAAAGCCATCATCCCCATCTCGTCGAAACCGCGATGAACCACGCCACAGACGACGCGAACGCCGCCCCCGTTCCCCAAGCAACTCGGTATCTCCCGAGCGACGCAACCGCGGAGGAGCGAGAAGACGCAGCAGTCCGGATTACGGTGACCGTGTTAAAGCAAGACCCATTTCCCGCAGCCGTTCCCCGCGCTCACGTTCCCCCAGAGGAGACCGCCGCCGACGAAGCTCCGTCTCTCGTAGCCGCAGTGTATCATCGCAGCCCCGCCACACTCGGCGCCAGGCAGACTCCCCTAAGTCTGTATCTCCCTCGAGATCCCGCCGCTCATCTGGACGCTATGCCCGCCGCGATTCTCGTCGCTTGAGCCGCAGTCGCAGTCGCACCCCTGACACACGTGATCGTGGTGAGAACCGTCGACGCCGCAGCTCCAGCGGTAGTCGAAGCCGTAGCCGCAGCCGCAGCCGCAGCCCCAAGAAGGACACCGACGGCAAGCGGCGCCGTTCTTTGGAAAGATACAACCCTGATGAAAAACGACGCAAGGTGGCTGATGAGAACGATGATTCCACCCAACCCCCTTTGAAAGCTGATGACCCGTCCAAGGCTGATGACACCAAGGCTGATGACAGTGAGACAAAAGTTGCCGAGCAGGTTGGTCATTGAGAATAGAGATTCCTGGTTCGACCTCCACCTTGTATCCTTTACCACCCAGATTCAATTCCTACTTAATGTTCGTCTAAAAATTTCACATGTCATGTTGGTCCGGATGTTGCTATCTTGAATTGGATACTAACAAACTCGCAACACTTAGACCAAGAAACCACTTTCTTCGTGGATCCATTCAACTGAGTTTCGTGAGAAATTACTCCGTGAGAAATGTATCGCTATGCGTCGCCGATCTAGCGAGAAGCCGAGCAGTGCCTCACAGCCAAAGCAGGACTAAACGAGAGCAGCAAGAACCAGTGGGGAGGGATTAACACTGGCCATTTGTGACTTGAACTTTGAGATTTTTCCCAACGAAATGTGTGCGTTTTAGCGCTGTACATGTACTTCGATGTTTGTAACAATTCCAATCCCAATTACTGTTTCTTTCCTTCTTTCTTTCTTTTTAAATCGGATTGACGTGCTCTGTTGTATACACTGGTAAGTCCTGAAGGTGGAATACATTGAAGGAAAAGATGATGTTATCCTTAGTTGAGAAAAAAACATATCGCTAACACAATAACACAAAGGAATGTACTCCATTAAAGGGAAAGATATATATACACTCAAGTCATCAGTTGACAAGGGATCTTCAGCATGCCGATATCCAGAACCATACATAAAACACACCAGAACATGAGATATGCGATACACATGATGAACAGAATATGTCAATCTCCACACAAGCAGATTAGAATTAGAATTATTTATCTACAGAGACGCCAGAGGCGGAGAGACGGCAGATCACAAGGTGGGATGGAAGGGTGTGTCAAGCATGGGCAGCCACATTGACACCCAACGTGTGTGGAAAATCATCTTGTCGTGGATAGGGCTCAAAAAGCAAAAAACAAAAAATCAACAATTGACGAAGGAAATACTATGAGAGGGCCTTTTAGAGCCTTGTCTTCGGAGTCCAGGGACGGTGTCCGCTTTACTCGCAGCCGCAGACGGTGGCAGTCACAGTCTTGGTGATAGTGACGACGTCACCGCCGGAGGGGGCGCTGGGAGCGCTGGTAGGGGCAGGGCCGGAGGGAGCAGGGCCACCGGGGATGACAGTCGAGGTGACGACCGCGGAGGTCTCAGTGTCGCAGGGAGTGGAGGCAGCGGGACCGGAGGGAACGGGCACGTCGGTGGTGGCAGCAGGGCCGGAGGGAATAGGGCCACCGGGGATCACGGTCGAGGTGACGACCGCGGAAGTCTCAGTGTCGCAGGGAGTGGAGGCAGCAGGGCCGGAGGGAACGGGCACATCGGTGGTGGCAGCAGGGCCGGAAGGAGCGGGCCCGGTAGCGACAGGAGTGCCGGTGGGAGCAACGCCGGAGGGAGTCTCGGCAGGAGCAGTGCCGGTAGGCACGGCAGGGACGGTAACGGTCTGGGAGCCGGACTCGTTGGGGCCACCGGGGATCACTGTGGAGCTGACAATCTCAGAGGTCTCGGTGTCACAGGGGGTGGTGCTGGCAGCGGGGCCAGTCACGACAGGAGTGCCGGTAGGAGAAACGCCGGTGGGAGTCTCAGCAGGGGCAGTGCCGGTAGGGACAGCAGGGACGGTAACGGTCTGGGAGCCGGACTCGTTGGGGCCACCGGGGATCACAGTAGAGCTAACAATCTCAGAGGTCTCGGTGTCACAGGGGGTGGTGCTAGCACCGGGAACGCTAGCGACAGGAGTACCGGTGGGAGAAACGCCGGTGGGAGTCTCAGCGGGGGCAGTGCCGGTAGGGACAGCAGGGATGGTAACGGTCTGGGAGCCGGACTCGTTGGGGCCACCGGGGATCACAGTGGAGCTGACAATCTCGGAGGTCTCGGTGTCACAGGGGGTGGTGCTAGCAGCAGGGCCGGAGGGAACGGGGACATCGGTGGTGCCAGCAGGGCCGGAGGGGGTCTCAGCAGGGGCGGTACCGGTGGGAACAGCAGGAACAGTGACAGAGCCGGAACCGTTGGGGCCACCGGGGATCACAGTAGAGCTGACAATCTCAGAGGTCTCGGTATCACAGGGGGTAGTGCTGGCGGCGGGGCCGCTGGGGACGGGGGTACCGGCGGGAACAGAGACGGAAACAGAGGCACCGGGACCGGAAGGCACAGCGGGGGTGCCAGCGGGGACAGAGACGGAGACGGAGGCACTGGGACCGGAAGGCACAGCGGAGGTACCGGGCAGGTAGGGGGTGCTGGAGGGCAGGCTGGGAACGGAAGACGAGGCGGGGACGGAGGGAGCACCGGGGATGCTGCAGCCAGTGAACCACTGGATGATGATGATCTGGATGGTGACATCGATATCAATGGAAGTGCAGCCACTGAGGAAAGCAGCGAGCTCAGCACGGGCAGCGAAGCTCAGGTCAACCAAGCTACCGCCGGCAGCGCAGAGGGAAAGGGCACCACGGAGGTCAACGCTGAGACCGCTGACGGTCTCGGTCAGGAGACCGGTGACATCGGTGACGAGGCCACCGACCAGGTCGAGGGAAGCGGAGACATCAGCCTCGACAGCGAAGGACAGCCAAAGAAGGACGACAGCCTTGAGCTCAACGCCCAGAGAGCAGTCAGAGCTGTGGAGCCAGATAGCGAGCTGGGTGCGGATGTCAAGTTCCACGGCGGTGGCGAGCTCACCCTTGGCGCATGCCTCGAGAGCGAGCTTGACATCAGTAGAGAGACCAGCAGCGAGATCAACGCCGAGGAAGGCGGCGAGAGAGGCCTGGCCACCAAGAGACAGAAGACCGGACTCCAGAACGTGCACACCGATGGAAGCACCAACGGAGATGGTAGAGAGAGCAGTCTCAGCGAGAGCACCAATCTCAACAAGGTCGCCACCGGCGTGGCCGTTGATCCAGGCAAGAACGGTGACCTTGAGGTGAGCGCTGAGGTCACACTCCTTGCTGTTGATCCAGGCGAGGAGGGAGGCCTTGATATCAGCGGCCAGACTGCCAACAACACCGCCAGCGGCGCAGACATTCAGACCGACCTTGACACCGACATCAAGATCAAGCTTAGCCTCAATCCAAGCGGCAAGGGAAGCTTGGGCACTAGCACTCAGGACGAGGGCGGACTCGAGGCTAGCAGCGTCAAAGATACCGTCAATGGTCACGTAAAGCTGACCCTGGGCAGCGATATCGGCACATCCGGGAATGTACACGGACAGAGCAGCCAGGACATCTTCGGAGAGAACGAGCTCGTCGTTACCCTCACACCAGGAGATCAGTGACTTCTTGAGGGAGAGGTCAAGGTCGGCGTGGAAGAGCAACCAAAGCTTGAGGGCGGCCTTGGCCTTGTGGTGGATGACGCCGGACTTGCAGCCAAGAGCACCACCCGAGAGGGCGGCAGCACCTTCAGCGCTCAGACCAGCAAGAAGGTCAACAGAGGAGTGGGAGTGGCCGCCGAGGACGGCACTGAGGATGGAGGTCACGTCGACAGTGATGTCGCCGAGGATCTCACCGAGGAGACCCAGGGTACGGGGCTCCACGGCCTTATCGGTAGGGTAGGCGAGAGCCGCGCCCGCCAGACCGGCGAGCATAACGAGAGAAGAACGCATGTTGCGTTTTTTTTTTGGTCGGATTAACGAATGTAATAGGCCCAAAGCTATTGGGGGTATAAAGTCTTCTGAACAAGGGTATACAGAAGCGAAAGACTGGACAGGCAGGCAGCAGCCGCCAAAGGAATTAACGATAGACTGTAAAGAGAGAAAAGAGAAGAAAGACAGTTGAATAATTGAAGATTCGGAGAGGTGATCGTCATGGTTGTTTATATACCCCCTGATCAACTCTGAGCCGGGAGGGTTCCGGGCATCAATTCTAGGTACTGAACTGCATCGGAATCGGAACACGCTCATACTGGTTCTACCCCGGTCTCCAATTCCACATTTGGAGCTATCGACCTCTTAGGGTTCAGGGATGAGAAGATTGAGACTGGGTCTTTCAAGTGGATCATGACTCCTGAGGGGGGCTAACAGGTTAGTACTCCGTACCTGTGGGCCATGCTCCGAGCTATTTTTGGTAGAGTTGGAAAATGTATCATATTTATCATATTTACGATATTTATCATATTCATCATATTTATCATACTATCTGAATGTTAACTACGGAGGAGTCTGTACTTTATCCATTTGGGTACGGTATAGAGATAAACCCGTTTGGAAAAAGACCCTAATGGGAACTAAACATCCCCAAAAAAGAACGTATAAAAAAAAAAAAAAAAAAAAACTGCCAAGTCACAAAGGGAAAAAGATCAACAAGATCACCCTTGGGACGGTTGAAACGTTCTAACTTGGCCATTTTTGTGTATCTGAAGTTTAACCCCCTTTCTATCTCCACAGTCGGAACTATATTTTAGGTATGTTATACACATCTAGCACGTCTACGATGGAGTACGCCCTACAGTCCAAGTATCTGATTCTGATAAACCCTGTACGAAGAAGTGTATGCGGCATTCCGAGTGGTCCGTTGTCAAAATGCATGTTCCACTGCTCCCGGGGAATTAGCGCAGGTACAGCATGCTCTCTTGACCGTATCAGGCAAAGATGGACATGTCCGATTCCGTCAAACTTGCACCTGTCAATTATTCAAGATACACGATAAAACAATTCAAGGCTATTTACGGAGGGGAACTTTTTAGCCAACTGAATTTTCAGTGCTTTCTGAGGGAGTACTTTTGACCAACTTGGATCATACCTGTACTTTTTATAAGTAACTAGTTAGCTATAAAGTACAAAGCACAACGTGAGAGACTGTTCCAAAGTATACGGTCGGCATAAATGAACATGGTTACACTCTATAGGCTGTGAAGGGTAGATTCTTGACCAACTATTGTAGATAATAGTATCACGTAGAGCCGACCCCAGCAGTTGAACCTGGCTTTTCACGAACACTTTGCTCGAGACAGAGCTACTCCGTACTCCGTACTCGACACAAAAAACAAGGATAGCAGCATCTAGGCCTTCCAGGGTTGACAACACTAGTTAAGACGCTACTTAGTCGGGCTTAAAATGTGAATAAAATATGAAGTTATGCAGGTCACGCATGGGAGTATCTCCACTTTGTGGGTTATCTCGTCAAATCAGAATCCTTTATTCCCAGTGGATTAATATCAAAAACAAGCTAAAAGTGCCCTAGGCCGCAGAGTGGAGCAAGCACCATCCCTTAAAGTTGTAAAATTGTCTTTTGACTTAATGTGATGGAAGCGGATGTTCTATATAGGAGTTAACCAAACCAATTATCGAAAACAGTCGATAGGGGATTTCCCAATGAATTCAAGAAATAGTCCTAGCCACTATACTCCGTATTGTAAACTTCTCATCCCCTGCTCCACAAACTACCGGTTCTCAAACAACACTAAAAGTCGTGATCTGCATAAATGAAAATGTCTCACCCCACGCGGAAGAGCTCCACGAGTGGTGCAGACAGTGCATGTGATGGTAAGCCTTTCAGCTGCATAGTTACCTTAGCATCTGCACCTTGGAAATTGCGATGGCCTGATTTGTAAGAGGCTGAGGCCACCAGGACTAGGCAGAAATGGGACTGTAAGCTGCAGTTCTTATGTTCTAGCTGCAGCTTCCCGACCCGTCAGGATCCGTCCAATGCAGAGTATCTTTGCTACAGCTCGGGAAAAATGACTAAAAGTAACTGGAAGAACATGTTGAAAGGTCCTTTGGGATTCTGAAAGATTTGAACGACAAGTATTGTACAAAAAATACGTGTGTGCCATGGCTGATCTGACGGATCCTCCAATAATTCGACTTCCGCCAGCACCAAGACTCAATAACATCCGAGGTACGGAGGACAATATACGAGTACGAAATACCAAATACGGTCTAAAACAAAGAAACCCAAACCATTAGGCTCAACTAGTCCAACGCCTCTCTGCGATAGTCGTTTATTCGGAACAATCGGCCGAAGATAGTCTTATGATCGGCCGAAATGGTCTTAGAATAACTACAAAGTATGATGGACTGGGTTTTTATTTGAGCAGTTTAGTCTGAAGTCGCAAAACATGAAAAGCCATTCGATCCTTCAAGTTTTCTATGGAATCGATCTCTCAGCTGGTATATTCCCCACCCTTTCGGAAACACTCGGATGTTTCATCGTGAATCAGAACCAAACAACAAACCCCCCCAAAAAAGGACAAGTTCGACCACGAACCTTAGCAATGCTCAAATCCGTCAGGAACCTCACTCTACTTGAAACAGTTACTATTTTTGTCGACAGCTCTGATCGACGATCCACCAGTTCACGCCAAGACCTATCGGTAAAGCCCTTTTAAGCTTCGAAAGCCGTACAATATGGAGCCGACAGTTTCATGCACCATATTATCCGAACTTTTCCCGTGTACTTTGTACGGGTGGCGGGCTGAAAGACATCCTCAAACCCCCAATTCTTAACTTGAAACAGCTTGGCAGGGTCGGCCGTCAGGAACACCCGTTCGAGATAGTATACTTCGCTAAACCTCTCATGCAACCTCGCTTGCAAGTTTCCCGTTATTGAATGCTAAAAAAAAAAACCATGACCCCAACCATCATTAATGGAAACCGTGGAACGTCCTCGGATCGCAAGACTTGAAACGACGGCTTGTTTTTTTTTTTTTGTTGAGATAGCCGAAACAGGGACCGGATCTTATTCCCACTCTCTCGACCGAGTTCTTTTCAATCTATCGTCCCATACTCCGTACATGCGCCCGACACAGCAACGCTAACGTGAACTCCTGAACCCACGGGTCTCAAACCCTATACCACACCGTGACTGGCAGGTATACCACATTCAAACCAAGGAAAAAGAATTTTTGGAGTTCACCAGGATAAGTCGAGACGTCCCATTTCACATGCAAGGGGTAGTGGGGTTCGAAGATAATCCATTTTGGTACGGAGTAGTGCCGAGGTCGGTTCTATCTACACACAACAGGCCATCGTACACATTAACTAACTATACTCTGTAGTTCCTGTACACATGTATGTTGTACACTGGTTGCCAGGGATTTAGACTCTTCCTAGAACTCCTGTTCCAAGGTTCTCGGTCAACTTTATCCATAGCCCTAATATATGGGTATTCTATTAATGAGTTTGTGAAAAAGATACTTCGGTATTGCTTATCTACATCCAACCCTCCACTTATCATCAGCATGAAAAAAAAGCAAAGAACAGCATCGCTATCAAGAAACTCAAATCGAGTCCGTGATCTGGGCTAACCTACTTCGGATCCAAGTAGCGAACGGTGCGAAGAAATGTGTACCTCTATTGCCAGGCCGGTCACAAAACGCCAAAAGAGCCCGATACCGCTCAGACGCAGACGCTGAAGTGGCACAAAGTATCTTCGCTAGATCGACCGGACAGAGATAAGGTGGCTGTCTTGCGTCCTCGCTGATAGACGCGGTGCCTTGCATTGAACATGCATAGTACACGCAATGGGCAATACCAAAACAATGACCCAATTCATGGCTCGCCGTCCGACAAACACGACCCAACCAGAGCGCGGACAGCAACGAAGGCGATGAATCTACTTCCGGGAGGGAGCGGTAGACTGATACTGCATCCCTCATAGGACCATTTAGCTCCGAACTCAAATTTTGCGATCCTCGACTATTATTGACCTGAGATCTTTTCTGTCTCTTCGCGGTTGGTTCTGCTGAAGCACATGCTGACATGTACTTCTCGCAATGCGACGCAGGCCATGCATGGAGACGCTCGACATCTTGAATATTATCCAGTATGGGGTTGTATCTTGCGCTGGATACCACTGCGACGCGACTTCCTCCGTATGCGCGGCCACATACGAACTCGTCATCGTCGTCTTCGTAGAGATCGAAATCAACAAGAATTAAGAGGGCATATGCATCTTTCGGTAAAATACTAATTGCAACATCGAGAAGGTCGTCGAGATTGACTTGGCCCCCATATGCCCCATCGGACAAGGTACGTGAGCGAATGCGCACGCACTCGTCGCCAGATTGTAGGCCCAGGTATTGCGGGCCTGTCTTTTTCCGAGGTCTCTTTGTAGGTTCTTCCCATGGAATAAACCGTAAGGTAGATGGTGGCATCATCTTGACAGGAAGACCGTGATAGAAGGCAGTCAGATAATCCTGGACGTCCTTCGTACTAGGGGGCTTTGTGGAAAGCTTATCGTCTGGATATTTTGGTATTGTCCATGTTCGCATGAAGTCGACATTTGGGTCAATTTGAGGAGATGGAACGATATAGACGGTTTTTTGTTTTGCGGTTACCGGATTGCGGTGTTCCCCATCAAGCCATTCTTGAAAACTCTGCGGGTCTTCTGGATCCCCGGCAAGATCATCTCCAGGCAGCAACAAGGCGGCGGGGAAAACTCTGTCGTCTTCTTCGAGAAAGAGTCTGTCTTCTCGTGGGAAGCTTCGGTTATCTGCTTTGATTGCAGCGAGACGTTGCCGTGGGCCTTGTCTTCTGAAACCTGCTACAGTAGCATGAGGAGAGGAGGATAAACTGATAGACTTATGATCACACTTTAAGATGGACTTTTGTGGCATATTGGAGATTCTAGTGCAAATGCAAAGAAAATGATATGTTGACCTCTC